CCCCAAAACCCCAAAACCCCAAAACCCCAAAACCCCAAAACCCCGTGGAGAATTTTGTAGATTGAAGTGATAGTATCCATTATGGATGCTCTTACATAGAGCATTCAGGGAGGTTGTCGATGTAGTCCTTGAAGTCAGCAGCTCTTGTGTCGAAATAAGCCTTTAGGGTTGGAGTGGCATCCAAGAGAGGCTCAATTTGATCCTTTCTGTGAGGATGTTGAACGTGAGAGATGTAAGCAGCAATAGCGACGAAGTCAGCAATGGTGTATGAGTCTCCTACAAGGAACTCTTGAGAGCTATTGCTGGTCAGTTGCTTCTCAAGGAAGCCAAAGAACTTAGGGTAGTGCTCCTCAACAAGCTTGGCGAATCCTTCCTTTCTATATGGACAAATTAGAAAATTATTTGGATTCAGTCAAGCCAAAGATCCGGAAATGATATGTGAAAATCTGAAAATAATTTGTGACGATCCAAAATTTTCGAGATGAAACAAGGATATTTTTTGCCTTTGCTTTGAGATTTAGATTTTAAAAAAGAAAGAATCTAGAGAAATTTCAGTCATTAAAGAGTAGGCTTATATTTATAAAACCTCTAAAATAACATTACCTCTCTTCATCAGACTTAGCGTAGAAAATAGTCTGTCCAATCTTTGGTCCAAAGTCAGATCCTAGCAGATCAGTGATCTCATCAACTGTGAATCTAGTCTCAACGTCTTCTGGATAGTATCCATGGACTCCACCCAAGTATCTCAAGATAGCTCCTCCTTGAGGGTAGAACTTGCCGTCTTTCTCAAACACTGGAACCTGGCCGTACTTGCACTTCTCGGAGTCAGCCTTGAATTCTTGCCAGGACTCCCCAGTAAGTCTGACGTCTTCAAACTCAGCCTTGGCGTGAGTGAGCAAGAGTCTGATTGGCTCGGCTCTTCCATAGAGATCGAAATAGTACACCTTCATTGCTAGCAAAGTTGGATATTTAATAATTATTGGATACTCCATAAGATTTGCTTATCAGGGGTTTTGGGGTTTTGGGGTTTTGGGGTTTTGGGG